GAAGAAAGTCTCCAGGAAGGTGGCGGTGACAAAGGTACAATGGAAGCGATTGTCCCTCTCCCCCAAATCCTCTACCTCCATCACATCTGTGGTCACTGGGGGTCCTGGGTTATCTCTTGGGAGGGACCCCAGATTAAGAACCCTCAACAAAGCCTCCCTTTTTACCAACAAATCACCTTTGCCTTCAGATCCCCCTCTGCCCCCCTCCAGCTCCCAGCCCCCAGCCCCATCCCAGGGCCTGAGCCCCCAGGCCCACTCCCCAGTGCGCAGAGCCCAGCTACTTACCCAGGGCCCCGCCTGTGCGGCTGGCCTCACACCCCTCCCTGCAGTCCTAGCTGAGGTTTCAGGAAGTAGCAGGGGTCCAATTATGTTCTCTCTAGAACTCCCCTAACCACAAACAGGGCTGAGCTTGGGGTTAGCCAACCCGGGCTGGGGTATCTCACTGGTGATGACAGTGTGGTCTCATCATCTTCCTGGGGGTGGGAGTGGCAGGAAACCCCAGACTTACCTCTGTTGGCAATAACAGCACCACAGCCAGGCTCCACTCACTCAGGAGCTCCCAGGCAGGGGCTAGGGCCTGGCGCGGCTCGGCGGCTGTCTCCAGACAGGCAAGGCAGGACACGTGGCAGGGAGGGGCCCTGGAAACACAAAATCCAGCTCCTCTGCAGCTCAGGTCTCGTGTTGCCAGCTCTCGGGCCAGGCAAGCACGGAGCAGGGTGACTTCCCAGAGGCTGTGTGCTCCCAGTAGTCCTTGTCCGGGGTGCCAGGAGTGGAGAGGCCGAGTGTGCCCACTACAGCCCCGGGACCAGGATGGCACCTGCATGTCCTGGAAGGCTCAGCACAGCCACTGCACACAAGCACCCTCATCTCCCCGCCTCCCCCTTCCTGGGGCAGGGCCATGTGGGAAGAACAGCCGACCACACACTCCACATTCCTCCCCTAGCCCTACCTCAACCCCTCCTGCATCCAGAACCAAGCCTGGCCTGGCCCAGGGGCCCTGTGGGTGGGCTTCTCTGTGAGGGGCCCTGTGGGAACTGCCGGGTGGGCAGGCAGAGTGGCCTGGGACAGTCCCCCTCACTGTGGGGCTCCCGGCCGTGGTGGGCCCAGTTTCCTTAGAAAACGCCAGCTGGCTGTGGACAGCACCCACAACCCCACTCACCTCCAAGCTGCTTCTGGGTTTCAGGGCACAGACCCCCCACCAGGTGCCCACTCCCGAGCCTGCCAAGCTCCATCCAAACCAGGCTCCTTCAGCAGAGGGGACAGGGCTGGGCTGGGGGAAGCAGCTGGGGACCACAAATGTCTCCAAGTGACACTGCCCAGCACTGCAGCAGGGACGGTCATTGAGTGAAGACAGCCACCGTCCTGGGTGGGTGCACCCACGGCCAGGAGAGCCCAGTGGAGGCTGAGCCCCTAGTCTGCACTTTCCCCCAGACACGTGGATCACTGTCTCTTATACACATCTAGATGTGTATAAGAGACAGCCCCCAGTCTGCACTTTCCCCCAGACACGTGGATCACAGCTGCCCCCTGCTGCAGGACCGCATGGCTGGAGGCTGCCTCTGAACAGCGATTTCAGAGGGTTTTGTGTGGATGGCAGTGGAATCCCTGGAAAGTTGGACTTCTCCACTGCCCTGGCCGGGAGGCGCAGGTCTCAGGGCAGGGTCCACCTTGGCTTTCCAGAAACACTTGCCCAGGGGGCTGTGATCCTCTAGGGGATCTGGTGCAAACACGTGCCTCCACAGGCCGCTGCTCATGGGGTCACTGGCCTCCCGGGTCTTTGGGCCAGGGCAGCCCCACCCTCAGAGCAGCAATAGGCAGAGCCCACATCAGGCCAGCGGGGGTGATGGCCAGGGATAGCTGTGGGTTCCTGTCGGTGGTCCCAGCAGCTCCCTGGGACCTGCCTCCTCCTGCGCCCCACTGGATGGTCTGTCATGTTCACCGGGGCTCCTCTGCACCCCCAGCTGAGGGGTCCAGGAGTGGCACCCGGACCCAGCTCAGGCCATTGTCACCCTCCATGCCTTCTGGCCTTTGCCAGGCAGTCAGGGAATAGCTGATTCAAGTGAGATCAGCGGAATCCTCTCTTTGGGTCCTTCACTGGGTTCTGGGAAAGGAAAGTTGAGCCTCTTGGGTGGCAGGAGCTGTGGGCATGAGCTGGGGGGTTGGCAGCCGTGTACCAGCTCCCCTACCCCTGCCATGTGGAGAAGCCAGGCTGGGGTGGAGGACAGGCAGGAGCCTGGGGGTGTGGACCAGCCCTGCTTCTTCCTACCAGGCCTCCAGGACCAGTGGGGGCTGCCTCAGGCCGTGCAGCACCTGGGTGTTGTCTCTGAGAAGTCCGTCAGGGAGCTGGCTCTCCCTGCTGTGACCCCGGCAAAGTGATTCATACCCAGAGAACCCCTCACCGACAGGAGAGCAGGTTTCAGACAGGAAGTCGCCAGAGCAGCCCACGGCTGAGTCACGCACCAGAACAGCTCCCTGCGGCCCAGACACAGCAGTGGTGAGGTCCAAGCTGCAGACACGGGGCGCAACTTCACATCCTGATGTGTGCATCAGAAACCACCCTGCTGTCCAGTGGGTTCACCAGCCTTTCTCCTGGCCCATCTGGACCCTCCAGAAGCCAAAGCTGGTGATTTGCTAACCTGTCCAGTCAGTCTGGGACGACCTGGGCCCAGGGGAGACAAGGCCAGGAATAAGGGAGGGGAGGGTCAGAGCAAGAAATGTCCAGGGGGCAAAGTTGGAAAGAGCTGGGAGGATGGGACCAAGGACCCAAAGAGCCCCTGTGCATGGGGCCAGTGTGGCCTGCTCCACCTCCCGGGCAGCCACAGGGCCTTGCTTTTGTCTGGCACTAAAACGCCCTGAACAGCCAGCTCTGACCTTCCCCACCTGGTGGGTGTGGAGCAGAAGTTCCCAAGGGCTACCTTGCATGTGGGGTGCGGCTGTCTCCCAAGCGAGGTGTGACCACACTGTGTGGGCCTGCAGGGCTGCTCCTCTGGTGACGGTAGCGGGGGTGGTGGGGGGGTCTTTGCTCTGTAACTGTAGAGAGACAGTGGCCGGAAGGCTAGGCTTTGAGAGTGGGGGCCCCAGGCCTCCCAGCTTCCCAGGACAACAGGTGTGGCGGGCAGATGCCCAGATCCTAAGGAGGACGGCCCTAGGGAAGGCTCAGGCACTGGGGGTGGTGACCATGTGGTGGCCCTCAGGATGTGGGCCTGGGATTGGGGGCCAGGCCTGGCATAGGCACACCCCTCCCAGTCCAACGCCCAGTGGCTCCTTTAGATTTATGAAGCGTGTTCCATGGGCCACACTGGCACCGGGCCAGGGGGGCCCCGCCACATGCCCCGCTTCAAGTCACTCTCAGTCTAGGGGCACATCAGAAGGCAAAGCAAACACCAGAGTGCAGTGTGGACTTGAAAGGTCACGGCAGGCACTTCCCCGAGCCCTGAGACGCTGGCTGGCCTCAGCCATGCACTGGAGGACACCCAGGGGTTCTCTGGAGGATGAGGAGTAGTAGAGTTTCGCTCTTGTCGACCAGGCTGGAGTGCAATGGCACAATCTCAGCTCACTGCAACCTCTGTCTCCCAGGTTCAAGCGATTCTCTTGCCTCAGCCTCCCATGTAGCTGGGATTACATGCACACACCACCACGCCCAGCTAATTTTTGTATTTTTAGTAGAGACGGGGTTTCACCATGTTGGTCAGGCCGGTCTTGAACTCCCAACCTCAGGTGATCTGCCCGCCTCAGCCTCCCAAAGTGCTGGGACAATGCCTGGCCCCTAGTCATTGTTCTTGATGATGCTCAAATTGTCCCAGATTTGACAAGTCACCCCCTCTGCCTCTGTGCTGACAATTATAGGGCAAATCCCGTGTGTCAGTTTCCAGTCACGGAGCCCCCTGCATCTGTCTCTTATACACATTGTCAGTTTCCAGTCACGGAGCCCCCTGCATCAGGTGTGTCTGTGTATTCACGCCTCACCGGACCCCTCTGCTCGGATGGTGACTCCATCCCTCAGAAGCTGTCTCTTATACACATCTAGATGTGTATAAGAGACAGCCCTCTGCTCGGATGGTGACTCCATCCCTCAGAAGTCTTCCCGAACTTTTCTGACTCCTTGCTCACTCCCTTGGAGGAGGGCTCTGTCCTGGCCTCTCCCACCCCTGGGTGTTGGTGATGCAAGCCGGGGATGCGGACCAGATGACAGGCCAAGTGGGAAGAGGAAAGGCAGAGGTGTCCTGGGGTTTCTGTGGGGGGACAGCTGCTCTGGTGAGAAGGCAAGAGGTCCCAGGTTTAAGCCAGGGAAGGGATTTTTAGGGAAGTTTTGAAGAGGGCCTCCCTGAGACCGAAGAGGCAGGGGAAGATAGGGGCTTTTGAGAAGTGTCAACCCAAGAACTGGATAATTCTGAAACTCCTTGTTGCCAACGCCTGTTCCTTTGACCAGGGTATACTCCCAGTGTGCATCATGAGTCATGGTTTCAACAGTCATAGTGTGTCCTAGTGAGGCCCAGGACAGGCTGCCTGTGACCCCAGAAACCCCAGACGACTGTGCCTAACCCACCTAATCCACAGGGTTTCCTTTTTCTCAGGGCTGACACGACAGCCCCACAACCATGGGAAGCCCCCAGCCTTACCTCGTGGTCCCAGGTGGCAACTTGAGCTCCAGCTTTCACATCTGTGTTCCAGGAATGAGGCAGAAGCAAAGGAGAGCAGGGCACAATCCGTCCCCTGTGTGGAGACTTCCCAGAATTCCCACCCAGTTCACCTGCTCCATCTTCCCTCCTTCCTGGGCCCAATGTAGTCTTGTGATCACACCTGGCAGCAGGGGAGCCTGGGAAACGTAGTCTTTGATGTCGCTGCGCCAGCTGATTCTGGGTGCTGTTCTAAGCAGGAAGGGGGCGCGGAATTGGGGACATGTGCTGCAATGCCAGCTTTTCTTTTCTTTCTTTCTTTTTTTTTATTGAGATAGAGTCTCGCTCCGTCACCCAGGCTAGAGTGCAGTGGAGCGATCTCCGCTCAACGCAAGCTCTGCCTCCCGGATTCACTCCACTCTCCTTCCTCGGCCTCCCGAGTAGCTGGGACTACAGGCGCCCGCCGCCTCGCCCGGCTAGTTTTTTGTATTTTTAGTAGAGACGGGGTTTCACCGTGTTAGCCAGGATAGTCTCGATCTCCTGACCTCGTGATCCGCCCACCTCAGCCTCCCAAAGTGCTGAGATTACAGGCATGAGCCACCATGCCCGGCCGATGCCAGCTTTTCTTCCACCTAGCAAGGGCAGGTCCCTGGCAGCTGAGCAAGGTGCCCACTGGCCAAGCCCAGGGACTCGACTACCCCAAATGAGAAAAGGGTCAGGGGATGTTGAACTGGGAAGGAGGTGGAGCCCCAAGGCCAGAGAAGCTGGGGGTATGGAAGAAAGTTTTTCTTCTATACTGTAACTCACAATGCCTCTGGCACTTCACTTGTGGGTTATGT